CTTTAGTGGTAACCCCAGTAAAAGTGCCCATTCTGACTAGATTACTGACGGGTTTTGATGTGGGGAAGGCGTTGTATTTGTTGGACAAAAATGTAGGACCGAGAGTTGGAGGGTCATCCCCTAATTTGAAATCTGCATTGAATAATCCAGACATTGTTTGGGATATGCTTCAAACTGAGGTGCAGGCAGGCAGGGTTGCTGGTCCCTTTCAAACTCCACCATTTAACAATTTGCGTATTTCTCCTTTAGGACTAGTGCCCAAGAAACAACCTAACAAGTTTCGTTTAATCTACCACTTATCTTGTCCATCAGGCTCATCAATAAACAATGGTATTTCAGCCGAGTTGGCAACGGTTCAGTATGCCAATATTGATGATGCAGTTAAGATTATTAAGGATCTGGGTCCAGGCTGTTTCTTGGCTAAAAGTGACATCAAATCAGCATTTAGAATTATTCCAGTAGCTCCACATGACCATTGCTTGTTGGGTTTCAGGTGGGATGATCATTTCTTTTTTGATAGATGTCTCCCAATGGGGTGCTCAACATCATGCCACATTTTTGAACGTTTTAGTTCAGCTTTAGAGTGGATTTTGCTTAAAGTTGTGGGCGTTGAGGCAACTATTCACATTTTGGATGATTTCTTATTTCTGGCACGAACTAGGGAGCGCTGTTTTTCGGAATTGCAGGCTTTTTTGGATTTGTGTGCTGACCTTGGGGTTCCTATTGCACAGGAAAAGACTATGGGACCCAACACTTCCATGGTGTTTGCAGGTATTAAGTTAGACACTGTCCAAGGCGAGTGTCGACTGCCACAGGATAAACTGTTGTGTTGCCGTAGCTTGATTGATACTTTCTTAGTAAGGAAAAAGGTGATGCTCAATGAAATTCAGTCTTTGGTGGGGACCTTAAATTTTGCATGCATCGTGGTGGTTCCAGGCCGGGCATTTTTGCGTAGGTTAATTGATTTGACAAAAGGGATAAAGAAACCAAATTTTTATATCCGGTTGACCAAAGAGGTTAAAGCAGACCTTCTTGTGTGGAAGCAGTTTTTGGATAGTTATGATGGGTACGGTGGCATTTTTAGTTCTCATTGGTTTTTTGGGGAGTGGCCAGCTGACTGGAGAGTTCTTAATATAGCAGTCTTGGAGTTATTTCCAATCATGCTGGCTC